GGGGCCATAAGGAGCATTAGTAGACGCAAAACTACGGTGACATTTGGATGGTCAATTCACCGCCTTAAAGAAGTCCATAAGTGAAGAGTCAATTTGGCAAACATGTGTTTTCGGTAACTCGTCGTCAGGCCAAAACAGCTACGTATAAGTTGAAAATATGCCAAGTAACAGGGTTTCTAAATGATTCAGGGGCTATTAACACTCATCGCTCCCACGCCATCTGCATGGCGAGGCGTGTTATGGCGTGTTATGGTCATTTGGTCAAGGGGGCGAGGGGGAGGGGTGACATGGGCTGTGAGTGACGTTTGTGAGTCGGGTACGTTAAGCACACACCACTGCCATGAGGAGGTTGGGGCGACGTGCAATCATCATCTGGGGTTGACGTTGGCCACTGAAGACAGAGCGCCTGTATCAACGTCGCCTGACAACATAGCACTGGCTTGACTGGCCTCATAGCCACTGTCTCGGTTGTAGCTAGCAGCCGTTGGTGTAGGCCACTGGAGAAGCATGCTGGTGTCCAGCAGACAACCTAAAGGGCTTCTTTTGCATCGACTCGGTTATTCGTATCGACAAGATGTGCGAGGATAGAACTCGAAATCGATTTCTTTTCACCTCTGCCTAGCCAGACCGGTGTATGTTAACGCACTCTCTTTTCCAGGCGCCTCATTGTACAGCCAATGTATCCCGCTCCACAAGAGCAAGTGAATGAGTAAATACACATCGATTTGGCCCGCAGCGGAAGTCGGTCTTTGCCTCCCAGGCGTAGGAGGGGAGATTTCGTGAAACATACACGTAAATTCGCCGCGGGGAAAGCGCTAGTGATAGCTGTCTTCAGGCGTCTTCTACTAAGTCACTCGCTGCGTTCCCTTGAAAAGGTAGTCTTATAAACAAGTCTTTTTTCTCTGCAGTTGCCATGGTGGACTTTGCAGTGCGCTCCTCTATATTTCGGAGGATAACTCCGAGTATCCGCTTTCGTGGAGTATATCCCGTAGCTGCTGGAGTTCTGTCTCAACAGTCTCGGGAGATCAGATACGTCGCACTCTAGCTGCTGATCCCTGGACCAAATTGCGTTTAATATTTATGGGAACAAAAATGTGAAAATTAATGTACTGTCCCGTCCAGGTTTTCTTTCGGAACACTACGCTGGATGAATCCATCCTCTTGTCTGTGCAGAAAAACATTGAGGAACGCAATTTCGTTGTCTGCTTCAAACTCTGCGGAGAACTTTAGCGAGGGGTGTACACTGTTAAACTTTTGAACCAGGGCTCTCTGTCGGTGGTAACAGTCATCAGGCAGAAAATATCGTCCACTTACCGACCATAGAAGTCAAGGTCATTAATAGTATCTTGTAACCTTGTCATCTCGGCTTTGCCCATGAAGGCATTTGTGAGGAACGGACAGAGCGGTGGGCCCATCGCTGCGTCTATTTTCCTGTACAGTTGACCATTGCAGAGAAACTGGACACTTTGCGTGCACCGCGTCATTAGTTCTTTTAACGTTTCCCCTGGCATGCCTAATCGGTAGTTCGTGTCGCGGACAACGTCACAAAGGTAGTTTATTGTTTCGGCCACGAGCACATTAGTAAATAGTGGTGCTACGTCCAATGATAGAATCCTCCGTCCGTCAAAGTTAATATCCTTGATAGCCTCAAGAAACTCGAAGGAGTCCTTCAAACTTAAAGGGTGCAGATGAATGTAGTGGGTTAAGCTTTTCGACTAGCCATTTTGCTATGGTGTGATAGGGCGAATTCCTCGTATCCAGGATTGGACGTAGGGGTAGTCCGTGTTTGCGAACTTTTGGGAAGCCGTACATTCTGGGTATTGCCGTGCCCGCTGGCTTTAGTCGCTCATATTCTTTTTTCGATAAATGACCTTCTTTGTGAAGAACTTTGAGAACCACTGTCAGCTGACCTTCGACGGCCTCTGTGCGGTCTCTGTCTTTCTCGGATTTCGATAATTCGGTACGATCCGACAAGATTGCCTTTGGTTTTGCTACGTAATCTTTTCTCTCCATCAGTACAACTCCCGAGCCCTTATCCGGCCTGGTTAACACAATGTTTTCGTTTTTACAAAGTTTGCTGAGACTATCGAGATGGGCCCTTGTCAAGGGACCTCTGTTTTTGTAGCCTTCTTTGAGTACTATTGACAGCAATTAACTATATTCGACTTAAAATAGTCAACTTTTCTAGGTCCGCTAGATTTTAGATCGGCAGTCTGACTAAATGGACTCTCGAATTGGACTTATAACTCTAACTCCTTCAGCATCCGCCGTGCATTACAAAACTTAGGACCAAGAGATAGTACCTCTATGAAAGCTTTGTCAAGCTGTACTGAGGAATAATTATGAACGTACCGTTCCGGATTACTCGGAAGGGCCGTCTGAGCCTTCACTGTCTGGACACTTCGTAGGAGCTTAGTCCACCTGGCCTCGATTCTTTTACTTCTGACAGTTTGCACGTAGTTTTCAAATGCCAGTCTCTCGCAGTTTTCAAGGCGGTCCAGGGCCGCTGCTCTCTGGCATAAGTTCCGCTGGAGTTCCTTAATTCCGGCGCTAACTGTCTCCAGGTGACTTTCTGCATGTCGTCGTAGTGCGGCTGAGGTAGCGGTAATATGGTCCCTTCGTAGGGTTTTCCAATAGTGTTTCGGATATTCACCCCGGTCAGTACATCCTGATAAGAATTTTGTCATCACATGTGCCTCCGCAAGTCTGGTGTCAAACTTTACGAATCCATAGAGTTCCTTTAAAACCAAGGCCAACGCCAACCCCAGATGATGATTGCACGTCGCCCCAACCTCCTGATGGCAGTGGTGTATGCTTAACCTACCCGACACACAAAGATCACTCACAGCCCATGTCAGCCCTCCTCCTCGCCCCCTTGACCCAACGACCATATCACGCCTCGTCATGCAGGTGGCGTGGGAACGATGAGTGTTAATAGCCCCTGAATCATTTAGAAACCCTGTGAACTTCGTATATTTTCAATTTCTATGTAGCTGTTTTGGCCTGACGACGAGTTACCGAAAACACGTGTTTGCCAAATTAACTTTTCAATTGTAACATGGGACCATTCGCAGAACTTAAAAAAGTCCATAATTATAATATTTTTTAATCCGGAAGTTATCTTTCAAGAATAAATCTCAAGGATGTAACTTACTACCAAATGAGTGCAAGAAGGGATATTTTGGTGTGTGTTTTCTATAGAGTATGTTTGCATCTAGACGGGCATCAAAATAATGGAAATATCATGCCATTTCCGTAGTCACTCATACCGTGCGGTTTTTGCATGTAGCCGAAAATTCGCATTCAAAGGCCGGCATCCTGACGCGACTGAAACATCCCAAGGTTATGCTGTGCGATGATCAATATCACAAATCCACCTAAGTAATCCTTTTCAATCTAAAAAAAAACATTTCAGAATTTCTGTTATGATTTCACGAGATACGCTATCCCCTGTAATCTCCGTTACGACTCCGAACGATAGACAAATAGGACAAGGGTTTTGGCGTCTACGATAAAGAACGCCTTTGTTCCAGCCGGACATTCACGCAGTATTGTGCGACGATCTATAAAATAAGCAAATTTCTGAAATCTGAACCCTTGTAACCAGTCAGTTTTATTGATTTTCAAGTCGTGCCACGCATACATTTAGGTCACTTTACTTTTCAGGAGCAGTCACACTTAACGACAATGTTTTCCGACTTGTTCGCTTTCTGAGTTTCTGAAAACATTCTGCGTTGGTAGCCCCCCCCCCGCCTTGCAACTGCAGGTTAAATTATATTACACCCCATTATTGTTCTAACTGGTTGCCTGAATTCCAAGAACACCTACCTGCTGACCATGCGATCAAGTTACTTATAAAACATTTTCCCCTTTTGCGCAGCAACCAACACTTTCCTTATAGCCAAACAGAACCGAAGGCCCCACTTCTAGAGGTGGTTCGGCAATGCTATGGGTTAGGAGAATGAAGAGCCCTAACTGTCACTGGGCAGAGTATGAAGCAACCATCTTGTGTCTGAAAAGATAGCCGCCTCCCTCCTCCCCCCTCCGACAAGCTACTGACTTGATATCCATTCTCGACTGTTAACGTCTTTATATTATTTTTATTGCCACTCTCTGTCGCCACTGCACTTCCTCCCATATACTATTTATCTTTCTTATAAACCGGACCCTCAATTGTACGAACGTTGTCCAGAACTCAGCTTACTGGGGCAATTCTGATGTTGACGGCTACGACGGTGATTGTTGCATCTCTTAAGGCCTAGACTTTTTGCAACAGACTTCGAGAACGAAGGGTGGACTTGGCAATTTTCCCTATTGAGGTGAATTTAATCAGCCAGTACCTAACCATGTTTGAGGACGATCTTCTCTGTCCCCTAGTAACAGTGGATTGAGTATTTTTCACATAAAAGTAGTTGTACTTTTTAGTGAAGTGCAGGTCAAAGTATGAGTAAGAATCCAGGGCGCAATCAGGTTCTTGTTAGAGCTTGAAGACTGGAACACCTGAAGGAGACTAGTTGTGGGCAAGTAAATTGGATCTTGTTTTCTGTTAGAATTCTCACCGGACGTATCAAGGGTGGAGAAATAAAAAATTATTCCATCTGTCTTACTGTATATGCCCTTTCTACGATCTTCAAGAACGATGTCTTTTTTAGTCCGACTTACTGTCAGGATAGCTATTTAACATGCAACTCGAAATGAAGACGAGTTTTTTGGAGGAGACGAATGGGGACCGAGTCACTATCAAAACCCGGTTGTAAAGCAACCTTTCTATTTGGCTCGTTTTTTTTACCTTTTTTGTCCACAGACGGCCTTGAACTCACGTTTGAGAATCTTCCCCAATAGTAACTCCATACGCAGGGGGTTTACTATACTCCTGTTCACTCAACAACACTTCACTAACTTGGAGTTCTTGTTATCGCACCTCTCGTCCGTTTCGAAGGCATGCGAAATCTTCATTGTTTGGAGCAACCATGAAAGAGATCCGCCGCCAAGTAAGCCTTTCTTTCACGCTCCATTCTCGCTTCTTGGGACCAGTCCTTTTACCCTGTCCTCTGCATACTTTTTCTCGCATATTTACCGCGTCACCTACCCAGGTATCTACCTTCCCAATACTGGCAAACCCATACGAATTTTGCCATCTCCGTTTTACAATCGGAAACAACTGACGATCTCTAAACTGCCAGAGACGGAGTCAGCAGCACTTTTTGCTATCAATGGAGACGAAGGTCCACTTCCTTCAATTGCCGACATAGAGTTTGCCTTCGAGGTAAATCTTATCGCCAACACTGTTTGGATTCGACTAAACGCTTGTCTGCCTTCTTTTGCCACTAGATTTCATGGGCATGGCTTCTTTTACACTACGTCATTTATTATGGTCATGTCCGACTGAGCATTAAAGGACTCCCCAGTATTCTCGCCATCACTATCGCGCAAATATAATCCACCCTACTAGTGGTATTGACCTTTTTCCCGTTTCCTGATCTTCCTATTTCCATCTTGCACCGTTTGCATCTGTGACGGGAGAGGGGGGGAGAAGCAACTTGAACAAAAAGCTTTTACAGCTAGACAGACAGCTGACTGCAGTATGATTGTGACTCGAAGGAGAAGGAGGAGGTTTTTTATGTGTATTTTTATTCTAAATGTCCTATGGGGTTTGTGGCGTGCCCAATCCTGCTTTTCTGCTGTTGCTGTCACTGGTCACTTTGTAAACCGGGTCAGCTGTCGTTCATTGGCCTCTTCCAGACATATCTGCGCGCATTGGGACTGCATCCGCGTTCCGCCCTTTTCTCTGGAGGGTTTGCCTTTTTCTCCAACTGGTATTAGGATGTTCGTGGCGGCAGCGGCGGTGATGATAGAGGAGTTTTCGGGTGTCCAGTTTTAGTCATGATGGTATTCCGGTGAATTGGCCCGTCATGGATATGCATATGGCCATCTAGACCAATGCGGCTTTCAAATGTCTTGGTGCATTGCAAGTAGGTGAAGCGTGTGTAATGGGCGTATTTCGGGACTCCAAGTACTAGGTCTGCATACGTCCAACGGGGACGATCCTTGTCCGGAACGTCTGTTGACAATGTGGACGCGATGGCAGGTATTGAGTGCTGGCCTCATCGGTCCGCAGCACCTGAATTTTTGCGCGTCTCCCTCTTTGCTTTGGAGGTGACCATTCGGTCGGCTTCGAAGATGGCTGTTCCAGTCTTTACGACATTACACCATACCTGTCGATCTTCAGCAGGGTCCTCCCAGGCCTCCGCGTTGATTTGTAGGTGCTTGAATGAGGTCTTGAAGGCATCCTTTTGGCAACGTGCTTGCCCCGTCTGTGACCACCCGCACCTACGCCTTCATAGATTAGCCACTTAAACCGGCGCCCGTCGCCCATCCCCACGACATGGTCACCCCATCGCGGTTGTATCTATCCATGAATGGCGTGGATATTGAGGATGCTGGTTCTTCCCGGAGTCCTTGCCTGGGACCCTTTCCTGCCATTTCACCTTTGATATTCATCGGAGGCAGCTGAGGGGAAAATGTTAAGTTTTCTTGCTTGATCTTCATGAATTCCACGTTCCTGCTCCACACAAAAGCGTTTTGAGGGCTGCAGCCCCGTCCATCCTCAGTCCTATGGCGATTAAGATGCCACGACGGTTTCAGACGGAGTGTTTTAGTTGACCGAAGACTTGGCTGACTGTGGAAATCCAACTTGCGATTTCGTCGTCGATCGTGATGTTTTCTTTTATTTTACCACCGAGGCGCACGGCATTCTCTATTGATGTGCGGTGGATTCCACTACCATTGATATGGTGCTCGGTGTTTTCAGTGTTTGGCCTCGGTTGGTGCAGGACCATTGTCTTCCGTCATAATGTAGTATCGGCGCTAGATGATGGGTGGCATCGCCTTCGACTGAAAGCCTGAAGATAGCATGGATTATAGCCTTAAATTATTAAAATTAGGTGGGTAGTGCGATACTCTAGTCGGGACCGGAGGACTTTATCTTCGGTCGTTTGATTGTAGTGCTTTTATCTAAATTCAACGGCACCTTCACCACTCTTTCTGTCTTATTTGCTCTTTAGACGTGGTGCCAACATCCCAACCGCATAGTCGGTTTTCACAATGTTTCCAACCCGTTGAATTCGCACGCAGGATCATCAGCTCCAGACAGTTCTGCCTTTCCGGTGTTCTTTCACAAGGTAAGGGCTTCTCCTTTACCAAAGTTTGCTCTTCTTCCCCCTACATGGCTGCGAGAGTTTAACAGGGCGTCTACGTGTGCTCTCCGCTGTTCAAAAAGATCTTTTTGCAAAGAACACTTCCGTCCAGTTTGTTTGTATTTCCATCAAACATGCAGGCCCATTCATGCGGCCGATTCGTCCAATAGTCCGTCGTGTCCCACGAGAACCAGCTTGCAGTCGATTATACTGAGGACTTTGGTAGAGTTTTCTGCCCCCCCCCACACTTCACTCGTCGCATTTCAGTCCGACGGCTAAACCGGAAAGACTAAGGATTACTTTGAGCGCAGTTTCTTATCTAGCATATTCTCAATCCATGTTTGTAACGGCAGTTGTCGGTATCTCCGCACACCAGAAAGACTTCACCCCGTCAGTCATCTCCGCATCACAGCACGCATGTTCAGCTTTAGCTATGATGCCCTTCACCCGCGCACTTTGAGGGCCTTTTGTTCAAGATACGAAGTAGGGAAAACAACTAAGTTGGGGCGCCTGTCTCCATGCATGTAAATCATTTTCGTGGACTACTGCGCTTTCTTAGCTAGCGGAAAGTAGACTTATCTTGCCTGTTTCTCGTGCGCCTGCCTAAATTGCAACCTCCTTCACAGCTCTTAGAAAACTCAATTCCCTATTTAAAAAAAAACTGACATCCTCATAAGCCATACTTTCTCCACAACCGTCAGTATTTCGGTCTTGCTAGCTACATGCATGCACCCCGTCTGCTATCTTACCTCTGAGGTAGACTATCTGAGAGAGTTTGGTAAGGAGAAGTTGCTGAGATGGCAGTTAGTACTTGACTTCACCCGTCTTCGTGCCAGTCTCAGACCTGGAAGTATTCCCAGTTGGGAATGAGAACGGACGCAATTTTTGTGTTGGAGGCCGAGAACTCTTCGGGAATCACACACGCATTGTGCCCAGGTTATTTTTCTGCCTCTCCCTTACGCAGTAGTAGGTGGAGTTCCCAGGAGTTGCTCTGTTCACTCTCCGCCACCTCCTTGTACCTTTCCCTCCTAATTGTGCAGCACTGTTGGCCGATTTCCAAATGCATATATCCATTCAGTCGTTACAGTTTTCACAGTAGAGCATTTTTTCCCTAACAAGCCTCTTTTCTTTTTTTCGCGTCTCCAATTTCAGTACTATCTCTCTCGCTACCTCGAAGAGTTGTCAGATAAGTTGAACTTTTTGCTTACGAGCCCGTTGGATTGTATCGAGTTGGCAATACCCAGAGTTGTGGAGCACCTCTCAGAGAGGCCCATACTGAACACTCTCCGTCGCTACAACACGAACATTACCCGCCAGTATCATGATACTACTGGGGATGGCACTAAAAAGACCTTTATTGAGGGTCTCGATCTCGTCTCGCGACCCATCGACGAGCACAGCGCCGCACATCGCAAAAAATGCTACATATTGGTGGAGGCGGCGCTACGACAACGGTCCCCACTTCCCGTTCGAAGTGTTATCAGCTACGCTCAGCCCTATAGAGCCACTTGGGAGTATCCACGACGACCGAACCACGAAGTGCAATCTTTGACGTAGTTTATCTGCCCCGCACAATCTGAACATAAAGCCTAAGCACATTGTTTTTCAGTCTTCCATGTACTTTTGTTCTCTTTTATTCTTTTTTTGACCAGAATAAATACCTCTGCCTTATGTCGCCTTTATGACAGTCCGAATGTCGCGAACGACGACGCCCACCGTGCGTCTCATGGGCTGAGTGCAGGAAGGTGACGGAGCTGCCACCGCCCGCTTACGCGTACCACACACGGCCCAATTAAACGCTTCCCACTCACGTGATAGATGCCTATTGTGTGCCTACAGTGAGTGCTGTGGTCAGATGACTGGCCGGCTCGGACAATAGACTGGTGCTCGGGAGAGGGAAGAGAGAATGATGTCGACTCTGAGGACTCCGCCTCCATTGTTCTCAGCGCATATTCCTCACTATAAACCATCTAACGCGCTTTCGAACTACCGCAATGCTCTAGAAGCTCTAATTTGGAAGTCTGCCGACTGATAAAATACCTCGGTCCTCCCCTCAGGCCGGAGAGTCCGACTGCAATGGCTCCTTTACGCGACGTGAAGATGCGGTCGCAAAACGGGCAGGTCGTGGTTGAGTCCGCATTTCTGGTGGACGGCGTTGTGATGAGGACGGTGGGTAGTGGGGCGTGTCGCCCAAACGGGCCACGCGGTAGATTTGCTGAACCAACACGGGACCACATTAGGTTCTGGCAGGTGTTATCGGAGTGCGATGGCAGACCAAGTTGCCGATCCACATCGCGCAAACTGGGGTCCCTGCGCCCCCCCCCCCCCCCCCCCACGTTTGGTTAAAATCCTGTTCAGGTGTATGTTGTGGACCAGGGGGTGTCGTGGTACGCCTAGGTGCGAGTCCGGCCGTGCCAGCAACCTGCGCCCTCCTCCAACTCCGGTCCTCTTGACTAGGTCTTGACACCGGGTTTGGATGGGGGAGGAGGAGAGAGTGCGGCAGATGCAACGCAAGTTTACATTCACTATAAGTTAAATTCACCCACAAGTCACCGTATCTGCGTCACGTTGCTGTGGAGCACATGCTGGACATCGTCGGCAACGACTGTCGGGTAGTGGGACATTGGGAATGTTTGCATCGATAGTGGAGGTCGGGTGGTCTTCGTAGTCATCGCGGG